CCGCTGAAACACATTAATAAACAATGAACCACGGCACTCTGGAGAAAAGTATAAGGTTGGAGAAGTCGTTATTTAATTTAATCTGGCTTTGTATGATTAAAAGCAACACGATCATCGACCCGACGCAGTCCCCGGCCCGTTGTTGTTGTGAGCTCCGTTGGGGAGAAAATCAGCGACGTAAACTGTGACGTCATGACGCAGCAGCGGCAGCACCAGTCGGGCTCTGAGCGGTGTGAACAGAGCGGGAGCTGAACCGAAGAACCGGTTCTGAACCAGAAAAGCTCTAGCACGGAGCTAGAACGGGAAAAGCCTTGGTGTGAAAGGGGTATAAGAGGATCACATATACCCATTCACTAACCCACTCTGATCCCTCCTGGGGCCCGTCTCCTGGGCTCCCGTTGCCCGACCAGCCCGCTCCGGGAAGCAGCTCGCCTCAAGACCATGGCTCTGGCTCCAGCTGCTCCTCCCCCTGGGAACCAGAATCCCTTTATTCTCCTGACTTTTTAGATCACATTCCCCCAGGATCCCCTCAGCCTACACCCAGTCACAAGCACAAAAACTATCTCATACTTCCCCCTTTGCTTCCCCCTACCAAGACCAGCTCACCTCTAGAACTTGGTTCTGGCTCCAGCTGCTCCTCCCACTGGGAACCAGAGTCCCTTTATTCTCCTGACTTTTTAGATCACATTCCCCCAGGATCCCCTCAGCCTTAACCAGTCTTAAGCTTACACATATTCCAGAATTAAAAACTCACATTTGACCATATGTCGAATAACACACACACACACCCATCCACAGATCCTTCGGCCCGTGCACCAATTCTACATGACCTACGATCTTCATGACCACATACAATTTACAACATTGGTTTTTCTAATAACAGCATTGGTTTTATTAAATTAACCAAGATATGAAACATGTGCCCGTGCCCGTGCCACCACTAGATGGTGACAGGTGACCTCTATTTTCTTACCTAACCCTAACCCTAACCAAGTCTTCACCCTAAAATGAATGATTCCCCTCATGGGGACTCACACACACACACACACACACACACACACACACACACACACACACACACACACACACACACACACACACACACACACACACACACACACACACACACACACACACACACACACACACACACACACACACACACACACGCCTTGGTGACCAGACATCTCCTTCATAAAACGAGTAATAGGGGGAATAATCGGGCAGTTAAATGTGTGTAGAGGTGTGTGTGTGGTTAAAACGAAGCAGCCTGCAGTCGCTCTTTAGCTGTTCTAATGAAGTTAAACACAGCGAAGGCGGTGCGTAATAAGGCACAGCTCCACTTCCTACTTGGAGAACCGGTAACTATCTTGTGCGCAGTATATCGTGATGAGCAAAACCGTGTCACATGGCTCAGGTGGTTTCCACAGAACGGACAAAACATGTTTAACGACCATAAACACACTCGTACCGTCCATAGGTATCTGGCGGTCTATCCGCCAAAACAAACTTAAAGGTCCCATGTCATCCTTTTCCGGTTATTACCCGTCCCCTTGTGTGTTATGAAGGTTTTTCTGCATGTAAACGGTCTGCAAAGTCACAAACCCTCAAAGTACACCCTGTAGCGAGTAAAACTCTAACACAGAAAATACCTGTCTGCTGCCCCAGAACGCCTCGTTGGAGATTTCTCTTTTTCTTCCTGGGTACAGTGACGTGCCCATACCCAAATGGTCCCATTGGTCCAAATGGACCAATCCGTGGAGCCGTTACGTTACGTCCGCGGAGCCGTTACAGTTGGACCAATCCGCGGACTTCCTCACACACACACACTCAGCTGCAGCTCCGCCGATTTCTCCTCCCTGAGACGGCGGGACGCGGCGAGGCTGTGAGTTTGTGTGTGAGCACACACACAAACTCCCAGCCAGGCTGCGGGTGTGTGTGTGTGTGTGTTCGGGCTGGTCTCGCTGTCTCGCAGATGGCCACTGGGCTCATAGGGAGGGGGGGGGGGCAGGAGCTCCAACAAGCCGTTTAGGACACAGAGTGAATACACATACTATACAGAGATGCTGTATGAGAAACCAATGCGATTTTGGAAAATTGCACAATATAAATCTATTCTAGTAGACCTCAACAATGGAATTATGATCAGTAGAAATGGCCATGACATGGGACCCTAAGTTTGTGTCAATCACTTGCACGTCACTTCTGGTATGATGGACATTCCGTTTCCGGTTTGATTCTCTAGTGTTTCGGCAAATGTTAAAGTGTTTCGGGAAATGTTAAAATGTTTCGGGACTTGTGAATTTGTCTCAGTTCTCGTAAAAGTGTTTTAGCAAATGTAATTTTGTTTTATAAAATTTAATTTTGTTTTTTTATAAAATGTAATTTTGTTTTATAAAATGTAAATGTGTCTCTAGCTTTGTAAAAGTGTTTCGCAGTTTGTTAATTTGTTTTTGTTAATGTTAAATACTTTTTTCTTTGGTAAAAGTGTTTTGCTAATGTAATTTTGTTTTATACAATGTAAATGTGTCACTCACTGTTGTATCTTGATATAATGTTTTCAGATGTTATTCACAGCCATTCCTGCAGAACAGATTGTTACTCTACATAATTTACATTTAGCTACCTTAGCTTGAATGCACAAAATGTGACTTTAAATTCAATAGCTGAACAAATCAAAAATAAATCCTGTATGAGGTTTTGACAGGGACTATCAATTATTTCCTTTTCCTGATGAGTAATATGTCCAGTAATTTAAAGTCACAGCTTGACCTTAAAACCAAACTTTGCTGTACTTTTACCTTTTCTCATTGACTGCACTGCAGACAGATGTATCAAATGTTGTTGTTTCCATCGATGTGGAGACAACCTTATAAATCACCTGATAACACGCACACTCATCTGAAGAGCATTAGGTGCCTTTCAGTTTGACAAAAAGCCTCCTTGAACAGCCAAAAACTCTTGACTTGTTTTGATATTTTTTATTTTTAGAAACAAGCCTTAACGAAAACAAGAAATACATTAATCAGAATCAGAAATCCTTTATTAGTCCCATAGTAGGGAAATGTAAGGTTGTTACAGCGAAAAGTGGCATAGCAGATATAAAAAGACATCCAATAATAAAGAATACAATTTAGAGAAGAGAAGCACACATTAGTAATACAAATAAACGTTAAAAACAAATAATTAGGTTAGTACACATCCATGGCTAAAAATGATGAGCAGCAACTTAAGAACTTATTGACAGATGTAATGTTAGGTGTCGAGACTTTATAACAAATGTTGGGACATTCATTACAATTAAGGTTTTTCACATAAAGGTGAATATTGATTATTGATCAAACTCAAACTGTAATTTCCCCCAATGGACACGTGACACCGCCTGTTCTCTCAAATACCTTTCATTAAAAGTGCAGCATTTTAAACTCATATTTGTTCTTTATGGCAGAGGGGAATTGTTGGGCTTTGCATCTGAAAACGAGAGATCTGCAATGTGAAAAGATTCTTCCTGAGGCCATCAGGGCTGACCTCTGACCCTTGGCCTTGTCTGACAGATTTTTTTTTTTAGATCATTCTTTTAAGGTGGTATGGCTCTAAAACATGAAATATCTCAACAGTTATCAGACTGATATGACTTTTAATGTTAATATAGCGCCATCATCAAACCAACATTTTAATTTGATGATGTTCTTTCTATCCTTACATTTCTGGAACTCCCTCCCACCTGACATCCGCAAAACACTGACTCTCTCCCCATTTTCAAATCACGCCTCAAAACATATCTCTTCACACTCGCATGTCCACCCTGATCATTATCCATCACACATCCTCTGTTTTTATTTATTTGGTTATTTGATTGATTTATATACTGCATTGTCTTGTTTATGTTTCTTATGCTGGTGTTATCTATTGTGTATCTTGTTTTTTATGTATTTGTACGGCGACCTTGAGAGCCTTGAAAGGCGCCTATATAAAATAAATGAATTATTATTATTATTATTATTTCTATAAAATCCTAATTTGTCTTGTAAGTCTTTGTAGGCACAGTTTTTTAATTATATAGAGAACAAAAAAGCCATCTTTGTAAAGAGCATTGTAGAGAAGAGAAAACAAGACATTTAACACATTTAATCAAATAGACAATAACAGTTTACAATAAAGACAGAAGATGATAACAGTGAACAAAATAAAAACAAAATCCTTTCTGAAAGAAAATATAAAGCATAACAAAAATAATGGGTAAAAAAGTCAGAACAGTAAAAGGAAAAAGATCAGTGGAGCAGTTGACAAATAAACATTTTAATCTTATTTTTCACACAGATTTTACTTTTTGCCATCATTTTGATGTAGTTGGGCCAATGTGCGAAATGCGACTTACACACCGAAAGCAGCAGGGTAAGAAGCCTTCAGAAAACTTAAATATGCTTATTTCGAAACAGTAAGAATAAAAATAGAAATCTTTAGAGAAATAAAATATTGAGGAGACGGGAAACCATTAAAGCTTGGCACAAGAAAGAAGCTGTTTCAACTCAACATTTGCAAAGTATTTACCACACTGTGACGTGTTTGATTCATCACACAGTCATAATTAACAGAAATGTCAGTCATTCAACCCAAAGTGACATAGAAACCAACAGTGACATCTTTCCAGCAGCTGTGTACCTGAGACATGAGCGATGACACGTTTGAGCAGCCCATCACACAGAAACATGTCCGACATAAAGCATCAGAGCTCTGGACAGCCGCTGATTACTGCTGCAGAGTAAACATTTGTTAGGCCTCTCTGTACAAGCACAGATAGTCCCCGGCTCAATTGACAGGGGCCCCTAAATTGTGTCTGTGACGCCTGATCCATCGCGTCAAAACCATTAAGAAGGACACTGGGTGTGATGATAATGTATCGATCAGGTTGTGATGGATGGCCACTGAGGATATATAAGTGAAGTTCTCTACCGAGCAGAGTTATAATCCAGATCTGACCATCTAGAGATAGAGGCACCATGATTTCTGTCGCTGTGTTTTACCTCTTGGCTGTGATTTGTTCTGCAAGACGGACACATGCTCTACCTCTCTACCCCGACATCGACCTGGAGCCACAGGCAGGTAAGACTCTTCTGATATTATTGCATTTATTTTAAAATGCTGCACTCTTAAGGGCAATTTGACTACTTTGCACGTCTGCATTTATGTGAGAAATGTATCTGAATGATGATACACATTTGATCTAATCTCAAGCAAACTCTGTTCATATTATTCCTAATTTTCCTTTGAGGTTATTATCTTATCTTTACTCAAATATTTGTATTCTTACATGCTCTTTAAGATATGGCTTTTGAAAAATGATCCAAAAATACATTTGACAAGTTATTCTGTTCAACTCACTGCAGGGATATTAATCTCATAATGACAGGCTGAAGTAAAAGCACATTTTCTTTTTAAATTTCAACAGATTTCATTCAGAAATTAGTGTCAGAGGTGGATGATGGACCCGACACGGCTGAGGGGGAGCAGAGAGAGGTGAATAATCTGTATCCTCTACTGATGCAGCACAATGGAGGAAGGGAGTCTTGGAATAAAGGTACAAATAACACAAATATCTTGCAGATAAATGGTCACAAAATGGTTATAATATAAGATAATGATTGCACTTCTATTTTTATGTTTTGAAGGTGCTAAAGATTCAATACAACAAGACAAGTTTGCAAACATGGTAAGGCTGATAATAACAAAGCATTGTATATCTTTATAGCAATTCAAAGAAGTGAAATTGCGCAGAAGAAAAAGTAGTTACTGCGAGGCAACAAGATGAATTCAATCTGAAGGCTGTTTTATGGGGCTGAAAATAAATTCTGATTATTTTTATAAATCTATAAAGAGAAAGTATTTCAGAATCTGAGATTGAACGAATTTATGCAGGAACTAAACCGCATTTTTTTTTAAGAGTAATCCTTCAAATAAATATATGAATAACTGTGAACAGGTTAAAATAAGGAGGTAAATGTGATCACGTAGTTACAGTTACAGCTCTGGCTTTAGATCAGAGTTCATCATGTTATCTGCGTGTGCTTTCTTCATGTTTTCTGTGTTGTTTTTAGGTGGAGGATCTCAGAGAAGCCGTCTTGAAGCTGGCGGCGGCCGACAAGCTTCGCTCTCAGGGTTTTCTCAGATCAGAGCAGAACTTGCCAAAAACAAACAAAAGAAGTGAGTGACTCTTATTATCTTCCATCAATCATTCAACACGCCTGCCCTTTATTTGCAGTCTTTGACAAAGGCTTATAGCATGTATAACCATTATAACTTTTATTTGTATTGGGCTTTTCTAAAATCAATGTTTACATACAATGAAACCCAAAAAGCAGCAACAAGGCAAGGCAAGGGAACCACAGCATAGACAAGATTTGATTTATACTTTTTCTTAAACATCTATTTCCTTAGACCCTTAGATTCAGAAAAGGAAACAACGTATAGTATATAAGTAGAATATAGTATATAGTAAAGTAGAATATAATATCAATTTAAACAAATGATGATGACAAAAGTATTTGGTTAATATTTAAAATAAAATGTAATGTAATAACTGGACGATGAACAGTGGTAATGATTTAAAGTAGTTTATTTATTATATTTTAGTCTATTTACTTATCTTTATTTAACTGTTTTACTCATGCTTGTCATGCATTAAGGGATTGTGTTGTTCAGTGCATAATGTGGTTTTGTGATGATGAAAAATGAACATTTTCACAGTGTTGGCAATTTAGAGTTAGGTTAATCTCACATGTGACTTCTGCTCTGTGTCGGACCCTCTCTGACCCCCTGACAGCATGTTTCTGGAAATACTGTGTCACCAACTAAAGCCCGGCCGCTGCAGGACGTTTGCTGTGATTTCTTCACGGCCTGGTCGGCCACGCCTTTCCTCTCCATCGTCATTTTTTTCCCCTACCAACCAGTTAATTCACCATCTACACCGAACGATCAAAAGTTATATTTTTGAAGTTGTAAAATTGTCTTTGTTTTTGTGGCTGAAAATAAACTTGAATATCAGAAATGCCATTATTGAAACCTGTTTTGGTTGTGATATTTCAAAGTAAAGATGTTTCTTTTATCTATAGTACCTAAAGAAAAGAGCATTATAGTATTAGTAGTCAGCACAAAAAAAAAACAAGATTATGACAAATCATTTTGATATTTATTATTAGTGTGACAGCGATAATCAGATACAGAAGTGTATTTCATGGTTTGCATTAAAATAACTGTACGTGGAGGTTTCTGCAGCTGCTGCTCACACTAACACAATCATATATGTTTTAAAGAGGGTGATTGATCAAAAAAGTGTTGAAAATATCTATTTACACTATACACAATAACAATAATTGTACATTTGGCCTTTTCAATATGGCTTGAAGATCTGTCTGAGTGACTATGGATGTGGATACATACAACCAATAAAACGTTTTACTTCAGCGTGTCCTAGAGTCTTACTGGAAAAAAAATACAGGTTTAAGGAGGAATAGTGTCTGTTTTGTGGCCACAGATTAGTAGGTTGTAGCGCCCTCTACAGATCACAACACAGTTACACTGAGTGAACACTTAATTACAGAGAATCCAAGGTTTTATTTCCTCTTGTTGGCCACGCTGAAGTAAGCCTTCTCGATTTCAATGTCGGCTGGACATGTCTGTTTGAACTCTTCTCTCTCGCTGGCGTTTCGAAGGTATCTCCACACGCCTGTGAACTCTGCGGGGATGTCAAAGTCGCAGTACTTCTTGGAAGCAACCTGAAATACAAAGAAAGGAAAATCTTAATTATAAAAGAATACTATGTTCATAAATATCAGAAAGTACTCAGATGATTTTCATGTAAAATGACCATGTTAAACAGTTTAGTATACTTTAATATAGTACAATGCATCATTTTTATGGTCATTAAGTAACTATAACTTTCATAATAATGTAGTGGATTTAAAATATAGATAATATTTCTCTTTATCACAGTGGAGTACCTTTAATAAAATAAATGCAGCAAAAGTACTTGGCATTGATTTAACATGAATTCAGGGACATAATGACACATTAATGGAAAAATATGAATATATCTGAATGGTTGTGAGATGATTGATCAGAGAGGAAAGAAGAAAATAAAACAGCTCTGATACACACATTGGTATTATTGGTTTAGCTTTTCCTGTGAAATGTTCGATCGTTTAACCTCTTTGGTTTGCAGACAGTTTGGATGGGAAATGTCTCTTTTGTGAAACTAATTAACATCATAAATGGTGACAAGGGGGCCACAACCACACACATTGTTTTGTAAGGAGTCACAAGCCCGGTGGTAAAATATTGATTTGATCTCTAATAATGCATACTTTTATACAACCTTAACATACCTTTTTTTCTTAATGTAAAATCTTATAATACAAATGAACATGCATAGATAAATTAATTGTATAGTAAAAAGTACAATATACAACCTCTGTCAAGTATCAAGTCAGTTCCTCAGAATTGTAGCAGTGAGTACACGTTTTCATAGAGCGAGTTTTGTCTAGTGTAGTCAAATAATGATTCCACCTAGCAGCGACCTCTTTGAGTCAATATAGGATTCAGAACTACAATTCTCAAGACACCCCCCAACCAATGAAGAGGCACAGATGTAGACAATTTGCCTCAACGTTTAACGCCAAACGTTTAACTTGACTCTTAAGAAGGCCTATTTTATTTTTTTGGAAACTACTTTATTTTCATAAAGACTCAAACGTCAGACACAGCTTTTCCACTGTGAGTAAATTGAATAACTTCAAAGATTACTCATTGAAAATGTCTTTATATGAGACCTCTGAAGTGGAGAAAGCACACATGTACTTATATACTTTGCACCACTGCCTTTAGACTAAACTATAGTTACTAGAGATGACCCTAGAATGAAAACCCATTAGATGCGAAGTCTCACCCTGATGACGTGCAGTTTGGGCAGCAGGTTGCAGTCGGCTAAGGTGAGGCGATCCCCGTCCAGAAACTTCCTCTTGGAGACGGTGACGGACTCTCTGGAGTTGTGGTCGATCTCCTCGGGCAGCGGGGAGTTCAGGTAGTTGTCCAGACGCTTGAACTCCCGCAGCAGGTTTTTCTCGTAGACTGGAGGGTCAGAAACACAGAGATGATGTTTTCTGTAATGGTATGTGGTGTAATGTAACTGCAAATACAATTACTCAAGTAAAGTGCACGAGTGCTTCCATTTTATGGCACGTTATTCATCGACTCCATTACATTTCAGAGGGAAAATATTGTACTTTTGACTTCTATCTGACTTTTATTGATCTTTTCTAGTTACTTTTTACGTTATAAATGGCCATACAAAATCTATAGGTTTATAAAATTCAATAGATTTCAAGAGGTTAAATTAACTAAACAAATATAACAGCTTTATCTCAAACAACCAGACTGCCCACATATCAAAGTATCACAAATACAATTCCAATAATATAATAATATACATGTGTAACAACATAAGGACCAAGTAGTTAAGTAATTGGTTGATGCTAATAATTACTATTTAATACACTGTTGGCTGTTTAAGTCTATTATGGAATATTACCATATTTTAGAGGCTTATCACATGTTTTGTAGATAGAATTAAAACCCCATTAGTTATTAGTGATAACATATTAAACATATATTTGATCTCTTTTCCTAAAATAAATACAAATAAAATCAATAAATAACAACATCACAATAAAAGCAAGTCTCTAATAATGGGTTTTAAAAAAGGTTATGGATTCTACTAGGCTTATCTGAGGATATGTACAAATATTATTTAAATTTAAATTAATGAATGTCCGACTTACAGGTGTTATTAGGACTGTTCTTGATGAAAGCAGAGAACTTTGCAAAAATATCAGCGCCCACATCAAAAGACTCTCTGTTTAGTGGGCTGAGATGAGGATACCTGCGGGGGAGGCGAGAAAGGGAGTGAACGTGTTTGATGAGAATACGCCATTGTCACAATCACACCTGATTAATATTTGTTTAGTGATTAAGCGGCAACAATACCTGGGAGGTGCCACTGTTAGTTCAAGAAACTCCTCGATTTTGATGAAGTCTGTTTTGAGGGTGCCGTTGTAGAGGAGGAAAGGAGGGTTGGTGCCGGGGGCCAAGTCTTTGAGCTCAGCGGGCTTCCTGCAGAGAGGACGCAGAAATGTGGAATAAGCATCATATAGTAAGGAGTCGAATGGGAATTATTTATCTCAAATGTAATTTTGAAAGAATTATGCAATATTGGTTACATTTGAAAAGTAGGATGAAAGAGAACGGCAGAAAGAGGAATACATTTTTCAGAAAAATACAGAAAAGCGGAATATTGAAAGGTTCTGCAACAGAGTAGAAAAAATGCATTACAAGTGGTACAGTATCTGCTCTGCTTTTGTGGTTGCTTGTCTTTGGTTTCTCTTTTGTTTTGAGATACAGACAAAAGGAAAGTAAAATACGTGGGTCCTGTCATGAATACATGCTGTAGCAAAAGGTATAATTTGCACAAGTTGAAGATATCAGGAATAAAATAAGAGATATGGACGATGTGTTTTAGATAAGGCCCGTTTTACCCCCTTAAGTTTGACATTTATATTGCAGATTTTCTTTGTCATCTGCAATCAGCTTAAACCTCTATAAGGGAAAAGGTATTTGAAAAATGAAGAAGAAGTAGGGCAGGGAGATGTCTTTCTTATAGATGTATTCAGTAAATGTATTTAATCTTACTGTTATCAAGCAAGTCAAAACTGAGAGCGTGGTGTTATCGAGGCTGTCAGAACCAAATGTGCTTCAGTAGATTAATGTTTTTAACATTGGCTGTGTGTTTAGTTATAAAAACACACTGTGCTGGGAGTGGTCGGCTGTGTAAAAGTGTGTGTATGTGTATGTGTGTGTGTTATGAATCATTCAATTATCAGCTTCCTTTCAAAGTTTCCTGATCTTATTTGCTCACCAGTAATGACGCTGAGAAATTCACACAATAAAGCCTCAATTAAAGAAGGTGTTTGTTTGACAGCGACACAGAGCTCTTTGTACATGGAGCTTTACGGCTCCTCCCTCTGACCTCTGTGAGACAGAGGGAGAAACACACCTATTGATAAGTGAGAAATTATTTGCATTACTCTTGAGTTCTCTCTCTCATTTGCTTCTTAAAAGAGTCCTGTGTAAAAGTCCCCAAGACCAGATGCTCAGGAAGTGTTTCTGACGGAGGGGGGCTTACTTCCTCATGTCAACAGTGGTCACTGTAAACTTCACTCCTTTCAGCCACAGCTCCATGAAGAGCCTCTGACAGAAGGGGCAGTTCCCCACGTTCTCCCCATCATGCCCAGCCTGAAAAACACAAACAAGTAAATGTTAAGTATACGACTACATGAGCCATAAATGTCCTGTTATAGCCAGTGAAGTGTTATAGCAAATCACAATATATTTTCTCCTCTGATCCGCTATTAAACACATCTAAAAGTGAAAGAAAGGCGTGTCCAGGCGGTTTCCTCCATTGAGGGAAAAGCAGGCATTGTGTTGTGGCGGAAAACAACTATTAGCTCTGCTCCCTCTTGATGTCAAAGGAAAAGTTTGACATTTTGAAAAATGATATGCTTTCTTTCCTGAAGTTGGATGGGAAGTTTGATACCACTTTCTCAGCCTGTTCGGTAAACATGAGTACAGTCAGTAGCTTGTTGGCATAGCAAAGGAAAAAGAAACAGCTAGCCTGAAGAGTATAAATAAGGTTTATGAGCTCTACTATTTCTTGTGTGTGTTTATAATCCTCCTACTTTTTGGTACAGACTAAACAAATGTGATATAGCGTTTTTTCTTGGCTTTTGTTTCCTGTATTTGCACCAATGCAAATTCCTTGCGCGTGAAAACCTAAGACTGATGTCACTCTCAGCAGAAAGCCTAAATGTTAACTGTTGAATTTTTCAACCCTTACCCATAAGAGACATGATGTACCGTCTACTACAGCATATTGTACTTTCTTCAATTGTTTTTAGTCTCACTTGACCTTGTTTTATATCTGTCTCTGCACAGATGCCTTTAACAAAAACAGGTTTGTGTACCAATAGAATGAAAAATTCCACGTGTTGTTATTGTCTGGCTATTAACATCAAGGAAGATATTTTTTTGTTTTTGATAATTTTTCTTGATATAGAGGTTTACAACTGAAAATATGTGTAAGTAAAGCGGGTGTACCAGTCCTCCTGTTCGCTCTCAGCTCCGTCTGGCTGTGCAATGATAAGGTCGGCTGTCTGTCTGTGGTCAGAGTTCACTGATAAAATATAAGCGCTGTGACACTCAACAGGGAAAGAAACACTTGTAGCATCTGCAGCACACAGTATCTTTAAATGGCACCCATCAAAATGAGAGTTGTCCTCTGATTGATCATACAACATGGTGCAGATCTCTGGCCTCTTATACAATACTGATAAGTGATCAGAAAATCCTTTGTTTGCCTTAATTCCTGAAGTGAAATTTTAAAACAGGGCATTTGTGTTTTCTGCTTCCCTGCAAGGAAATACTCAATTGAGAAATATTTTTTAATCCAAAATGAAAGAATACGATTCCTTAAGATGTCAAAGTTGTTTTAGTAAAACTGTCAAAACAGAATTGATTTCTGCAATATGAGTTCGAGAATTTTGTGTTTTCTTTCTTCTATGAAAATATATTTTTAATCTCATTGGGACCTCCCGGTTGAATCGAAGGTTAAATCAAATACATAAATATATATGTTCCTCTAAAAGGGAGGATATGAGGCAGTTACATTAAACAGGTAATAACAAGCAATAGAAAAACTGGTTAATGTTTGTCGACACAAGAGGCTCTTTTGACAGTGAATTCAGGTGTAATTGACTTTCCCTCACATGTTCCAGCCAACTTCTCCTTTTAAGTTATTATTGAAATTGAAAATGACTGACCTTAATAAACAACTCGATGCTTGGCTCCATTTCAGAGTTCTGTCGAAGTGCCATGTTGTCCCAAAACTAATTTAATACAACTTTTTGTTGTTGTTGTATTCCTTGTTCCAGTCAAAGCTTCTCCTTAAGTCTTTTTGCACCCACAGCGCTGTATGGAGAGAAGTCTGATAGCAGTGAATAGGTGCTGCTCTGGTTTAAATGGTCTCTGTGGAGAAAGTGTAACACCTCCTGGCTCAGTTTGTTTTGTCTCAGGAGGAGGCTATCGCTCTGAACATACTTCACTAGTGAGGGGAGAGGGAGGATCCAGAGAGATGGGCGGGGTACTCCCTCTTATATACCCAAAGCAACATCTATGAGCCTAAAATAGTTTCCTCTGCTTATTGCAATACACAGGAACTGATAACAGCGTGTGAGTCAAAACACACAAATTCAGAGGATTCATTATGGATCACTCACATTCCAACACTGTTAGGTATGAAGGGAATATTAGATTAGGAGGAAGGCTGATCCCAAATTCAACATTAGCATTTTAAATATGAAATAATATTTCAGAAAGTAAAAATAATGGTTTTAATGTAAGTCATCTCCCAGAAACCTGCAGGTCCGCTGCAACTCTTACTACTTTTAAATCCAGGCTGAAGACTTTTCTTTTTGCCGCTGCTTTTAATTGAACTATTCACATCTTAAACTGCACTGTAACTTTTATCCATGTATTTTTTCTTTTAATGTTTATTTTATTATCTTTTCTTTTTAATGACTGATTTTAAATGCCATTTTCTTAATGTCTTCCATTTTTGTAAAGCACTTTGAATTGCCTTGTGTTGAAAGGTGCTATATAAATAAACATGCCTTGCCTTGCCTTGCCTTCATCAACTAGTAATATGAGATATCTAACATTATATAAGTACAAGTAGATTGATTTTCTAACACAGAAATCTTCCCATCAGTTACCGTATACATTTCCAGTTTCATTCCTATCTATTTTCTGGGTTTTACAAAGGGTTTGGTTTATATATATCATTCATAGCCTAACCTAGATTTCACTTTAACCCATCTTCAGATTTCTCCTTATGGAAATGTACGCAAGTTATCAAGTATGACTTAGAGTTCTCTAAGTACTTTTTGCCAATATTGTATATTTTTGACACACTAACTCCAATACATTTTATTCAGAAATGTTGTCATTTGTATTCAATTCCAAACAGCTAAAATCTATTGTAAGAAGTTCCTTTAAATACATTTAAAAAATGTTTTGTCATTCATTAAGAACAGCTAATCTTGCCATCAGCTTACTGTGGTAATTATAATACTGTATTTACTGTATGGAATAATAACATGACATTGAGATAAGTAGTTCAGCATTAAAATTAGTTTAATTAGTTGTTCTTAAAGCACATTTCCTGAATATACGCAAATATTTTGACTTATACTGAAGGACTTGTAATCGCCCACCGCATGGTATATATTTTGCTAATTGTTTTCTACTTTATTCTACTCAGGGAAAAGATCACGTTGGATTTGTCACTATTCTTTTTAAACAAAAAGGGGATATTTCAGAGGTATTTGCAGTAACGCAACAGGCACATTTTACTTTGATTTGTTTTGCATGCGTTGAAGTGTCAAGAAAGTATTCAAAATATTACTTCTGTTTCATTTAATATTTAATATTCAAAGTGGTATGATTAGTAATTACATTAAAATATGTACTCTTATCTTGAACTCATAGCCCATGTGTTTGGAAGTGAGGGCTTAGTTCAGTATCTCCGTTTCTTGTAATACTATCATTTACAGTAAAGAGGAAAGTATTGTTTTTGGTGAAATCCCCAAGCTGTGGTTCAGACTTCCCCAAAGAAATAACACATCATGGGCAGAGTTATGCAACGCATCTCTAGGAATTTAAGAAAGACAGATCTGACTAACGCTCTGTGCGATTTTTGTTAGGTGGCTGAGTGCCATTAAAAACATTGATATTCCAAACAAATCCTGGAAATGTGATGAATAACACTCAATGATCACAGGAAATGTAAAAGAGGGAGAGAAAGTTGTTGAAAAAATATAGTATCCTCCTCTTCTTTATTAAATATCTGCAAAGTCAGAGAGGTTATGGCCTGGGATTGTCCAAATGTCTGCAGATAATCTCTCCTCCACACGCTGGTACCACCCCTCTCCCAAGTAGACCGCTTTAGGGAATAATTAGTCACTCTATTGACACTTCCTATGGGAGGTGAAAGGAATTTACTGGAGTATGAGGTGGGAGTGTCAATCTAACATAGGCACATTATTAAAAAGTGTGTCCTTCTCACCCTCCATTATAACTCTGCTATGGAGGGAGTGTTTTTTGGAGCCTGTGTGATAAATGACTAGAGGGCCATTCATATATTAACTTTGATTCACCATCACAAGTGGCTGCAGTAGCTGATAATGTCACAGTTCTCATGAATTATGCGTCAGTGTTTGGTTGGTATGACAACAACTGTCACACACAGAGTTTGGTAAGAGACCAAACTAAAGTTAATCACAGCTTTTAAAGTAAACTGTGAGGACATTCAACAGGAGAGATATCCTGAGTACTTGTGGAAAAAACTTGTCAATGACCTTTAACTTCCTCTTCCACAGACAGAAAGACAGGAAAGCCCCGAGAGATGCAGAAATCTCCGCTGGACACACACACAGCTGGAAGTGACCTCCTGGAAACAAAGTGCCTTATCTCCTTAAACAGAACCCAGTCCAAGAGAATGAGTCTTGATTTTTATATTACACACACACACACACACACACACACACACACACACACACACACACACACACACACACACACACACACACACACACACACACACACACACACACACACACACACACACCCACACACCCACACACACACACACACACACACACACACACACACACACACACACACACACACACACACACACGTTACAATGAGTTTCGTTTTCGGGGGAAGATGGTCTCTTTTGGAAATAGCATTCATCAGGTATTAATTTAGTTTAACATTTTAGAAAATACACTTATTGTTTATTTTTTAGAAGAGATTAGGACAAAAATATGAATACCATTATTTTGTTGGTGAGTCAAGTATAAAGATGGAGCTTGAAGGTTAATAGAATAGCTTAGCATAAAGACTAGCAGCAGGGGGAGACAGCTGGACAGCAACTTAACAGGTTGTTGGCTCGTACAGAATAATAACAGAAATCTAAAATGTCTTAAGTAAATGTTAGCAAACAACAGCAAACCGCAGTGACTTACTGGAGTCTTGTCGCTACAGCGAGGTTGTCAGGTGTGCTTGTATGAGCACAGAGGAAGGTCAACTGCTCCCACCTGCTGCTAAGCTAAGCCAAGCTAAATGAAGCTAAGCTAATTGCATTCTTGCTGAAGCTCCTGAACTTAATACTTAATACACAGACATGAAAAAGGCATTAATGCTCTCATCGAACAGTCTGTAATACTGCAAATACAAAAATAAAATCGATAATTAAATTAGGGCAAAATCTCCCAAAAGGTTAAACTATGAACTAACTTAGTTCCACAACCCAAAACAACCAACCAAAAAAAGTCACACCATAGGCTTTTTTGCAGCATTTTAATCTCGTATAAAGTGAAGGATGTTTGATTTTCTTCTGCAATATTATTCTCGTTTGAACATGCAGCAGAGCTTTAAATCAAAAGACTACAGATTAAATGTAAATGCATCCCCCTAAACATGGAGCTTAGATATCAACTAACTGCACTGCAGATATTTTTTTATTGCTGGAAGGGGGTGGCTGCTTCTTGGAAACACAATGGCATCATTGACCTACTGACCGCCGTCTCCCGGACAGTCAATAGCACGACAACTCAAACAAAACGAGGAGAGGAGAGGTCTCTCCTGCAGGATATACACAATGAAAGTGCCATGGATTTACTGCTTCTTATCTCTTCTCTTGGCCCTGAAGATTCACACCGCTCATTCAGCTCCCGATTTCACTCGTAAGTGTTTTGTTTTCAATGTCAAAAGTATTATTCTTTTTTGAGTAGGTTAAAATGCTGAACAGTTGTTTTTCAGCCATTAACTGTAACTGAAAAGGAAGTTTCTGAGAGATATTAAGCATCCTTTAATTTTTTCTGCATATCCTGCTTTCTAAACAGCTGCTGCAACTCATGGTTAAAGACCAGAGTGAGGGTGCTGAACTTAGACCTTCAAATAATATATCCCTTTAAAGCATTAGACAAACTGCAGCCTGGCTATTATGATGGATGGCATTATGGTAACATTGATATATTCAGACAATGTCAAAGGTATCTCTACAAACAAATATATTGTTAGCACTGCAGTGTATCTCTCTATCTGACCTCATCATAGATTTCCATTTTGTGTGCGGCTGCAGGCTCTAAGGGGCTTAATAATAGTTCATTGTGAGTGAGTGCCTGGTACTGCCTTTCTTTTTCCCACACACACACACTCACACGTACACAACACAGTGGGCCAATTACAGGAAGCACACACACACACACACACACACACACACACACACACACACACACACACACACACACACACACACACACACACACACACACACACACACACACACACACACACACACACACACACACACACACACACACACACACACACACACACACGGGTGGGGAGACTTTAGAGTCTATGCTCTGTTGTCTTCTATGTTTGTCTGTGTGGTCATGTAGTCAAAATATTATCCAGAGTTACACCCAGTGAAGCAGGGCCGAGCTAAAAAAAGCATCTTATAGGTCACAATGTACTTTATTTTTGGGGAAGGGAAACCATATGCCTTCTTAATGAAAAGCAAATCTGAAACTGTCGTTTAATAAGTAAGTTTAACAGATTTTCTTCCATATTTTAAGTAATTGGGTATAAGAAATATATTACAAAGATGTCCTCTTTAGCAGAAATTAACCCTTGTGTGGTGTTCATATTTTTGTTATTCAGCCAGTGTTCGTGGGTCTGGTGGACCCGCTGCCTTTTTGGGTTTCAATTCAACACAATCAAACTATTTTATGTTAAAATACTCAACAGATGTTTACTTCATCCCAATTACAAGCAATATAAACAGCATGGTTAATATTTGCCCTTTTACATTTGTTAGATCACATTAATGAATTAAAGTGCCACTTGTTTTTTTGACCGCTGACCGGCTGGTCCTGTGGCTCGTCTTTTCTTTAGTAACTAGCTGATGCTCTCATCCTCTTCTTCAAAGTCACTGTCAGACTCAGAATTCTCAGAAATGTGATCCTCACATTCTGAAACCTCTTCCTCTTCCTCTACATCATCATCAAATGGTTCTCTCTCTTCCAAAATCATCTGCAAGGCCCTCTGAGCAGAGAATCTTTTGGCCATCTTGATCAGTTGTGATAAGGACCCAAACTGGCGAAGCTTTATTTATTGTGTCCCGCCCCAAACTTGCAGATGGGATAGAGTGGGAACACAATTAAGATTGGTTCCCGCAAGACATAATGCAGGAATGTGAGAGCAGACAGGTGTCGGTGCTTGCATTTATCAACAATGTTGCAACCTGGTGCGGGAATGGCAGGGGCAGAAACACAAAAGTCTCACACGCACGCACGCACGCACGCACGCACGCACGCACGCACGCACGCACGCACGCACGCACGCACGCACGCACGCACGCACGCACGCACGCACGCACGCACGCACGCACACACACACACACCTTGGTGACCAGACATCTCCTTCATACCCGAACATCCTGTATGTAATATAAATGTGTAGGGGGGTGTACAGTGGGTGGTCATTGAAAATGTGTTCTGATTTATGTTCTTCACAGAAAATGAGCCAAGGCCATTGAGTGTGAGTTTGAAAAAATAATTGATATAATTTTTCTTTAGATAAATAATGAAAACGGGTCCCACAGATCCGAACACCATACAAGGGTTGAGTCAATGTCCTTCTTTGATTAACATTGGAAACAAATATAAAATATTTTGAAGAAAATCTAAAATGTCTCACAATGAGAAAAAGCAGGTCCCACTGTATTTACAAAGGACTGAGTCTTGAAAATAAGATCTAACATTTTGAGCTAAAACTCTTGTAAATAAAATAAATTATATGACCACTTATTTTGATCAATAATCTCCTTTACTGCCATATGTGCCAAGATGTTCTCTGTCAGTGCTATATCAGTAGAACGCTCAGGATGTGCTTTTCACGGTAGACCAGGACAGATAAAAAACACGTGTTCAAGATAATAGCCTCAGTGTCAGGACAAAAATAATGTAGATTTTCAGGAGTTGTATGCTAACCAACTGCTTTTATTGTAGTCTACCTTCACAACATCTTGAAGAACCACACAGCTCATGCTTGTGAAGGAGACACGCTCATCATCAAGTGTCCCTCCAGGACGTCTGTGGCCGTCCTCTCGGCTTTCTATGGACGACGTGTTCCTAATCTGCATTTGTGTCCCTCTGCAAACACAAACACAACTGCAGAGGAGGATAACGAATGCACTTCCCCAGTCGCTACCGAGGTATCCTGAATGTGAAATCAGACTATGTTTAAATAAAATGCTCTGGAGATTTAGAGTATACTGTAGTCAACAAGTTTCCCTGTCCTTGCAGAAAGTGCTGTCAGAGTGTCAGGATCGGCGGTCCTGTCACATCCCTGTCTTCAGTCCAGTGTTTGGGCAGGACCCCTGTCCTCTCACCAGCAAGTACCTTCTAGTCTCCTACAAGTGCAGACCAGGTATGTTGCCATGGTCCTATATTTGTAATGTGGAGAATCATTGACTAAAACAGTAGTGTCAGTGTGCCAACAATTCATTCAGTTTAGTTGCTAAAAAAAATATATGAAGCAATAGCAGAATTGTTTGTTTGGCATGTTCAAGATTATCATGCAAACAATCTAGGCTTTATCGTATTACAGAGATAGTTTGAATGTTGTGAAGTGGGGTTGTATAGGCTACTTATCCATAGTCAGTGTACTATTTACTGTAGATGGCGGGCAGCATTACCCTGTTTGTAAAAACTGACATAATTTACTAAGCAGAAAAACGTATTACGACACCCAAAAGCAAAGCATACCTAAAAAAAAAAGGGGTCTATGGAAATCCTGTATTTGGAAATGGAAATGTAGGATTTGATTTGTGCTTTAAGAGGTACTGGATTATCTACACTATATTATAATATTTTGATAGTTAACATAATTTTATTATCTCGGTTTTATAAAATTGAATTATGATCTTTATCGGTATATTGCGACAGGGAGCCTAGCCTTCACATAAAAGATGTCATTCATGAGCTAAAACCATAGACTGTATATATAAAGGCTAAGACATGCCAAGTCTACTTACTACATTTGCATGGAAATACTCCTTTCTTTAATGGTGTTTACATGTTATCTGTTCTTCAGAGCACCACCGCAGCAGGCTGGTGTGTGAGAATGAGCGTCTGAGGCTGACTTGTAAAAACGACACCGTCCTCGCCATCTACTCAGCCTCGTTCGGACACCTGCTGCACGGCAGTCCTCACTGTCCTCAGGAACCTGGATCACACAATGACATGGGTCTGAAACCTGCTTCTTATCTGCTAGTGAAGATATAGTGGAACCAATATAAGTTCTAGGCATAAGTGGGGAGTAATTAGTGGGTCCTATTATTTTAGTTTGGTTTAGTTTAGTTATATCAAGGATGATGTGTACATAAATACAATAGTCTTAAACATTAAAAGAGATGATTCGTAGAGATGGCAAATTTAGAAACCATTTGTATGACAAACTACTACTGTTACAAATGTATATTCAAAGTAATAAAAACAGGTTGTCCAAATAATTCACACAATAAGCACAATTTGCTTAAAATTCTTCTTATTCTTTTACTTAACAGGAAACAAAGAAGGTTCATTTGTTAGCATACAAACGAGCTTAGATTTTATACCAGTTAATGATGTTAATAATAATCAGATTTCTAAGAATAAAACCATTATTTATTATACTAAACTTTATTTATTTCAGAGTGTCTGTCCTCCACGGCTCTGAGGAAGGTGTCACGCCGGTGTCACAGCAGAGCGAGCTGCTCACTGGTGGCCGACACCCAAACATTTGGGGACCCGTGTTTCCCCGGCACCAGGAAACACCTGCGGGTGTCCTTCACTTGTGGTATGTTACAAACCCGATGTTACTGCATACAGCACCTCCTTAAAATACATTTATATCTTAGGGACATTTCAGAAATGTTACCTCAAAAACGTTCAAACTCCTACACGTAATGGTTCTATACAACTGTATTTTATTGTGCATTTTAATATGAAATGCATCTATCAAATTGACTTCTCTTATTGCGCTATTCTAGGGCTTTTAACACAACTGTCTATTATATAACATCTTAATTATCCTAATCTGTCTATCAAATTAAATTCTCTAATTGATTCTTCTTCTTTTTTTATAATAGTTTCCCATTTTCTCTCTAAGTATAGCTATGAGTTGTTTTTTTGTTTTCCTTCAATATTATTTTGTAATTCACTCAATGTTATTGTAAATACACGTTGATGCTCAACTCAAATATAAATAAAGTTTAAATTATTAAATGTACGCATCACCTTTCAAAATGTCAAATTTTCTATTTAGTGCCCCGGTATCTTCTGGAAGATGTTAGTCGAGGGTCAACTGATCCTTTCATGATCTCAGACTACACACATGGTGAGAGAAAGACTCCAAATGCACAGGTTTTTGTAACATGCAGCAGACTTTGACTGGTGTCTGAGCCCAGACCCCTCTCACCTGCAGGCGGATGGTACACTGGCCCCACCTACAGGCCTCATAATGTGCTCGTAACCAACTCTCTGGAGATCATTGAAAAAATGTTGGGTATGTGCAGTGACGCCTGTAGACCTCAGGCTATAGGGTTGCATGTATGTACATGTAGATCATACTTTAAAAAGGCCTGTAAGGTTGGATTGCATGTTTTAGTCCTACAAAATTGACACAGTGACACAAAGCAAAGGAAATAATTAGAAGTGTATAAGCCTATATCTTTCTTCTTCTCTGCATTGTGGAGCTCTCCTCAATTTTTCTATGCAGTAATACAGAATGTGCAAAAATATTCAGATGACTGCTTACTATTTTCTAAAAGATGTCGTAGATTTTTGTGTTGATCCTTACATCAGTCAGCCTTATGCTCCCTTTCAGTTGATTACAGTAAATTAAAATGAAGCGGCACATGCATGAAAGCTGTAAAAGTCTTTTTTTACGTCATCATAGAAAGGGTATACAGTTTAAAGCATGATAAGCTTTTTTTTATTCTCTTATTATCCAGAGCCAACTCTGAAATCTTAAATGTTGAATATCTCTATTTGCACACAAGCTTACTGGTTAAAAGTGTACAAAACAATGTAAATATGTATGGCCAGGATGTTTAACAGGATGGATATCTGTGTATTTTCAGTGTCTCATGCCACATTTTGATTTTAGTGTGATTCACAATCATCACACGTCTCATTCTCACTCAGATTTCCCAGAGCGAGTGGCTCTGTACTTTGTGGTTGGCATCTGTGCTGGTCTGGTTTTCCTGCTCTGCCTGTTTGGTGTACGCTCCACACTGGTGAGGGATGTTAAAGATCTGGTTTCTGACCTGAAGGAGGAGCTGGAAGCTTCTCGCAGGAAACGAAAGGAACTCATGCAGGATCTCTTTGACGATGACATCTCAGACACGGCGTCCTTCCGTTGCCTGACACAATCCTACCGCACGACAGAAATCCTCAGTCCTTCCACTTTGACGGTCGAGATGGTTGAACGTGAGGTGGAACAGACGAGGGACCTGCCCAACGGAGACATTTGGCCACATCGAGACTCCAGCCCTTATGCCATTCATAAGATTAAAACCTACAACAACTGAGAGAAGTCACATGTACAGTTGAAACTATTGCTAAATAATCCTTCTGATTACATTAAAGTTTTGGACTGAAATTGACTTTCAAAATAATGTAACTTCTTTATCCATGTTTTGTCATTTTTGTCAAAGTGACTATTAACAATAAAGAGTTCAATACAATGTGTTACATGAATTGGTTATGAAGATTAACAGTAGAAGATTTGTTCATGAAGGTATTTTTTTATGAAATGTAACAAATGGGACAAATGATTATGCCTCGGGAAGTTTTCTGCATATTTGTTTTGGTTTTAAGATGTCATATAAAATGTCAAACCAGTATATAGTGTACAATCAACATTGTAAATAGTAATAGTTGTTTTAGTAGGGTGAGAAATTAGGTATATTTTAAGTGATGTTTCCTAGAAAGTCCTTGCACAAATGTAGATGCTTTTTTTGAGTAACAGTTACAAACCATTCTTTAAAAATACTACAATGCCTACTAATAAAAAAGGTTAAAGCCCTGAATTCAAAATATTGTTTAATATTTTCAGCAAAATGTTTTGGGTGTGAAAAGTAAAAAATATTCATCATGAAAAATGACACTTTTTAAATGTTTTAATTTATTATGAATCCTTCTTTTTTTATTAGGAGTTTTTTTTAATGTTGTAGCTGGTAAGGTGTGGCAAATAAAATAAGCTAATTTAAGTATAATGTACTGCATTTAGCTCAGTAGCCTGATACTGCATCACATTTTAAAAATTGATCATACATCTTGTATCTACTGTAACACCTCTCAAGTATAGCTGTCAAATGAATGAAGGAGAGCAAAAATGCTAAATAGTTTTTACTGAAGTGGCTGGTGTTGTGTCAAATTATGCACCCCCATCATGAAATGCCCCCCTTGTCACGGGAACGCGCATTTCTAAATGACACGTTTACACCTTAAAACGATGTTTAAAACGAAAAGTAAACGTTCAGGGTTTTTATTAATGGTAATTTTCAGACTGTGAGTTGTTTAGTGGTAGCTCATATAGTTTTGATTCTTGTGGTTAAACTTGTCGCTCCGTATTTGATGGTAGTGGTGTCGAAATTCATTCGTCACTACCTTTTCAGTTTTTGTTTTTTTTAATCTTTTTTTTTTGTATTATTGTTACGTCCTGTCTGTATACACGTGCTTTAAAATGTATTGTTTAATTTTACATATTTGTCATATAATAATAAAAATATATGTTTACAAATGTTACATAGTCTTTGTCAGCATATTTTTGCCAAGTTATGCACCCCTTGCTATCTTACATAATAAAAGTGTCACATTCATGAAACTTGCTCCATTCATTGGTACTAGTCCTACAACTATACCCTGAAAAATGCTTGAGGGTGGGATTAATAGAAACATCTTTTGGGGGGGTGCATTTTATGACAGGCCTGGTTTATCATCCGAGTCAGAAATAAAACAAATATGGAGTGAGGGCTAGTCCTGCAATTGTCCAACACATTTACATACACACAGTAATTAATAATACATGTTGAATGAAATAAAGAAATAAAGTGACATATTATCCATACTAAAATTGTATACATTATCACACATAAAATAAACATTCATTTTGAAGATTAGAGTCCAGTGACATGGTAAGCAATCAAAGTCAGTGTGAACAACATGTCATATTCATCTTTAACCCTTGTGTTGTGTTCGAAAGCTGTTACCGTTCATGGTGTTCGCGGGTCAATTTTGACCCATGATTTATCTCCATCTCCAAAACACTCCAAAATAATGACCAAACAATCCTGTTGTAATTTAAAGGTTATGATGGAGTTAAAACAATATTGGATGATAGTCATTATTTTGGAGTGTTTTGGAGATGGAGATAAATCATGGGTCAAAATTGACCCGCGAACACCATGAACGGTAACAGCTTTCGAACACAACACAAGGGTTAAAGATGAATATGACATGTTGTTCACACTGACTTTGATTGCTTACCATGTCACTGGACTCTAATCTTCAAAATGAATGTTTATTTTATGTGTGATAATGTACACAATTTTAGTATGGATAATATGTCACTTTATTTCTTTATTTCATTCAACATGTATTATTAATTACTGTGTGTATGTAAATGTGTTGGACAATTGCAGGACTAGCCCTCACTCCATATTTGTTTTATTTCTGACTCGGATGATAAACCAGGCCTGTCATAAAATGCACCCCCCCCCCCCAAATATGTTTATATTATTCCCACCCTCAAGCATTTTTCAGGGTATAGTTGTAGGACTAGTACCAATGAATGGAGCAAGTTTCATGAATGTGACACTTTTATTATGTAAGATAGCAAGGGGTGCATAACGTGGCAAAAATATGCTTACAACGACTATGTAACATTTGTAAACATATATTTTGATTATTATATGACAAATATGTAAAATTAAACAATACATTTTAAAGCACGTGTATACAGACAGGACGTAACAATAATAAGAAAAAAAAAAGATTAAAAAAAACAAAAACTGAAAAGGAAGTGACGAATGAATTTCGACACCACTACCATCAAATACGGAGCGAAAAGTTTAACCACAAGAATCAAGACTATATGAGCTACCACTAAACAACTCACAGTCTGAAAATTACCATTAATAAAAACCCTGAACGTTTACTTGTTTTAAACATCGTTTTAAGGTGTAAACCTTTATATATACAGTCTATGGTGTAAACGTGTCATTTAGAAATGCGCGTTCCCGTGACAAGGGGGGCATTTCATGATGGGGGTGCATCATTTGACACAACACCGGAAGCCAAATTAGGCTGCCTCAATTGATTTACCACTGGCATACTCCCACACTCCCAAAAGAAGACACACAGATTAAGCATACATTTGATATTCTTATGAATTTACGAATTGCACATGATTTTCTTCACGGCTGATAGCTACATTTGGTTTCCTACCCACACTCCAGGGCAGAAGGTGGCGTTATTTCGCTCATACTTGTTGCCACCCGCCGCCAGAAATCCAGATGATGAAGCCGAATAACTGAGCAGGGAGAGGGCAGGAGAAGAAGGGGAGTGAACCTCCCAAACTCTCGGTAACTAGGCTAGCTAGCTTCCATCAGCCTCAATTTACAAGACATGTCGTGCTGCCAGCCTGTTCTCTGACACAGAAAGGAAAACGGATACTCAGCTGTTTTTGTAAGAATGGCGCACACTAACCGGGATACTCTGATGTCTTGACTCTGTTGAACATCTACCCACGTCCAACCACCGCTGGCTAACATCGGTTAGCATTAGCACCCCACCACCGAACAGCTGTCATCCCGGAAGGCCGCCGCTGCACCGGGTGGGAATTTAACTTTCTCTCTCCGTGTCTGGACTCAAAGAACAATAACCCATGATAAATAGCCATTTGTCATATATCGGTAAGGATGGAGTCCTCTCTGGGACTATGCAGCGAGGATTGTTTGGCAATATCCTTTTTGAGTAATTTTACAGCCTTGTTTTCAGTGCATGTTGTCAATTTGCTTTACCGTTAGCTTGTTGGCTAACATTAGCTCTAACGTCAGTTAGCAATGCAGCTAACTTGTATTTGATAACCAGACATGATCTGTAGTGTACGAGCTAGGTTACTCGTGTGAGTGTATTCACATGGTTTATTTTTATAAATGCAGTTTTGTATCAGTTCACTTCCAACCACATATGTGCAGTGGTGTCAAGTAACTAAGTACATGTACTCAAGTAATGTACCTAAATACAATTGTTAAGGTACTTCACTTACATGTTTTACTAATTGAGACTTCTACCCCACAAACATTCAGGAGGTAAATATTGTAATTGTACTCCAATTCATTTATGTAGTACCTTTAGTTACTTTGCAGATATAGATTATTCATAAACGACTTTAGACACACCTGGATTACATTCACAATTAGTTGAAAGTAGTTCTACCATGGCCAGCTATGAAAAGCACATTAATGCATCAATAATTATAACCAAAACATACACTATATATGATTGTGAAATGAGCCAACCTGCATAAAGAAGAGTACTTTTAGGACTTAAAGTATATTTTGATGCATATACTTTTGTACTTTAATTTGAGTAACATTTGGATACAGGACTTTTACTTGTAACAGAGTATTCCTACATTTTGCATTTCTACTTTTACTTACGTACAAGACTTGAGTACTTCTTCCTCCTCTACTGTATTGTAGTAGCTAGTTTACTCATGAGTGTATTCGCAACATGGTTATTTTATAGATACAGTTTATTTTTTAATCAGGTCACTACTAACCACTCCAATATGACCAGTCTCATCTTGTTAAATTAACTAAATCCTTATGTTTTTAAGCAGAATAACGTTATTTGTCTTTTTTAAAAGTTCATCAGCTAAACACCTTTGCCGCTCTTTTCTTCTGTGCCTTATGAATTGACATGTATCACATGAATTTGCCTTTTAATGTTCAACCGGCATGGCTTCATTAACTCTGATTATCCTCAATCTAACCACACGCAAACTAACTAATAATCCTGAAGTGACACCTTTGCTCTCTCTGTCTGTCTGCGGTTAGTTAAAATAAAATCTCAGTGCTTGTGATGTCCAGGCGCCTTTTCCCCCCTCAGTAATGATGATTCCTTGATTGTGATGCTCACACTGTGAAAGCTCAGGAGCTGAGGGCTGGCCAGAAGGAGCCCAGACTCCTGTCTCTAATTGAGCGCAGTGGAGAATTTATGTAAGTACCAGAGAACCTGATGGCTGACCATCTTAGTATTTGTGTCAGGCAGTAGATACATTGAGTAAGATATTTAAGGATTTAAAGCATTCCTGAACAGCTTGATATTTTAGATGTTTATCTGCAGCATCGGCTTCCCTTATAGGTTTTGCTTTATTCTTGTCAAATCACATTTTTTTGACAACTTATTTTCCTTGTTTGAATGTAAATACTCGCTGTTTGTCTTATGGGCATTGTGTATACGTGTTGGTTGTCTTGTCTAATCAAAAGAATAGATTAGATAGATATGCATTACAAAATAATTATATTGTGAGAGACGGTTTGTGTGGCTAAATCCCTCCGGTCAGGTGTACTTTCAGAAAAAACACCAGGAATATGTAGCTTTTTAAGGTGAAAAGGGTCGGTTTATCTTGTGTTGTACATGGTCAGACAGAACCTGAGGACCGATAACAAATGGTCTATGTTATAGTGGAAACAAGGTTCAGTATCTCCAGTTATAAGAAATGTGTTGCTGCATGCATCAGTGACTCTTCATGGACTAAGCTTACGGACAGTCCTTGGTGCTGTTTACTTACAGGATTTTAATTTGTCTTGGCAGCTTCAGCTTTTGATTTGAAAAGAGGATGTTGTGGGTGTGATAAACTATCAGTGTTTGTGTTTGCAGCACGCTTTAATGGGTGTCAACTAGCATGAAGGAGAAAGCAATTGCCCCTACCAGCAGTCAGCTCAACCGTTATCCAGAATTCCTCAGTTAGTCCTGGAGTGTAATGAGACTCACATGTGCTCCGTCCTCAGCTAACCGTGTTAAAACCACACACACCAAACTCAAGAGTCATGGAGACTCCAAGCTGTCAGGGTTTCAGTTGGTGCTTTACGGAAATTATATAACATAGCCGGCCCATAAGCCTGTCATAGTGAAGTTCTTCGGCAAAAAAACCCAGAATAAGCACATCAAATACAACAACCCTGCAAGTTGAAGTGTCTGAAGAATTTGTGTTTATTTTTATGCCAAATATATGTATTGTTAATGCAATATCTCATTAAGGTTAGAGTAGTTATTCCTGTGTTACAATTATTGATATAATTTCAAGACTTATGTTTGCCACAATTCATATTTTAATAGACTTTAACGCTGATGCAGGACTTTTTCTAGCTATATTACATTTATAAAAACAAGTATTTAATGCTGCTAACAGTGTCACACAGTGTTATTTTTCTTATTATTTAGTTAACACCCTCATTGGTCAGTTATTGATTGTCATGACGGTTTCAACATCAGACTCTGGAGATCTGCACTCTGACACAGCAGAAGGGCTGAATCATTTTCCCGTCTTCAACAGTAATCAGAGTTATTGTGAAGCTAAGGGGAAGCGTGGGCACTGGGCAGTGCCCAGCGAGCAGCTCTGACCCTGGCTCTTAGTCAGCCATTGTTAGAGAGTGAAATATGATCTCGCCCACAATAACACCCACACCCCAGATTTAAAGATGTTCATATTAATTATTTAACTACCCAAAG